CCTCTTTAATGTGAACATTTTCCTATACACTTGTTGATCATTTGTATGTTTTTTAAGATAAGTGTCTAATTTAACCCATTATGTGTTTGTAAATTAGATTGTTCGTATTTTTCCTATTAAGTTGTGAGGTATTTTTCTGCTGTTTTATCTAACAGCTCACTGTTTCTGGCCTTATATGTGGATACTCACTTCTCTTGCCATCTTGTTCCTGATGCATGTCCTGTGCACATATTTCAGAATTCAGTTGATGTAGGAGATGGTATTTTGTGAGACTGCATGCGAGTTTTCTAAAAGATCCTTTCGTTCTGAGGTTACTTTGAATGTTTTTTTTTCTAGTTTTTTATTTTATTTATTTATGTATTTGTGAGCGACTGTCCAAAAAGCTACCAAGATGTTTGCGTAAGGACAGAGAAGGTTTCACAGAATTTGCTCTCAGAGAACTAACTGTAGACCCTAACAGAAAAGTTTCAGCGAAGTGGAAAGAAATTGCAAGTGAACCCAGGTGCGTATTCAGTGAGAAAATACAGTGCGGTTACATCAACTTTTCCAGGAAGTCAGTACCACAGAGCTCAGAAGCAGGTCTACAGCTGTAAGGATGTCCAGGCACGGTGTGGAGGTTCAGGGCTTGTAGTCCCAGCTGCTTAGGACGCTGAGGTGCCTTCAGTTCAAACAGCTGGGGCTGTTATGAGGGTCAAGGACGGTTTTTTGTTTTGTTTTGTTTTCTTTTTAATGGGGGTAGTTTATTTTTAAAAGAAGCAGTAGAGAAAAACAGTCTTGTTGATTGGAACAGGGGCAGATGCGTTGTTCTCATGAGCCACTGAGTTGCAAACACTGTATCCAGAGTTTATCATTTTTTCTATTTATTTAGTGCAACAACAAAAGGAAATACTCCCCGCCCCTCGAATACTTTGCACCAGATGTGTTGCTGACCATTTTAACCACTAGGGGGCAGCGTGGGTCTATTAAATTAATGGCAGCTATAAGCCTTGCAAAAAATATTTCATTTAAGACATCCTAAAATTAAAATTCTCTAAAATAGTTTACATTCATTTATTCGATTTTTAAAATACAGGGTTAATTATTTTATAATAAAACATAATTTCTGATATGTTTTAAATGTTGACATTATAATAGTGAAAGGAATCTATGTATCATAGTGATTTGATACCTATCACCATCTCTTTAAACATTATATGGCAAAGTACACCCATGAACGTGTGTCCCTTATGTGTGATACCCTTATGTTTGTCCAGCCAAGCTTACCCTTACATTTAATGAAACAAACTTTAACATTAATTTTTATTTATTGAAGTCACCAGGCATGAATATGGTACAGGGACATACATTCAAAGAAAACACCCATACACATAAATAAAATAACAATAAGAATAATTTTAAAACGGATTAAATAGTGCACTACATCTTTTCCTGTCCAAAATTTTTAGCAAACTAACTTAAATTTTCCTTTATTTTACACTCCTTAGCTCACTTCCTCTTACGGTGTTTTAGTTTAGTTTTCATTTGTTACAGACTTACTGCCATAGATGAAAAAACAGGAACGAAAAACTCTCCCATTGTCTATCACTTTGTCTCTTTGACCCTAGAGATTTCTTGGGCTAGTCTTTTTTTTAAAAAACTTTCCAGTGAGTCATTTAATTTCAAATGTTAGATACTTTTAAATTGCAAGGGTTCCTTATTTGTCCTCAGGCTTGGACTCCAACTTCTTGGCCGGGAGATGTACTTTATGTCAGCATTTTTCGAATTTGCATTCTCTCGGGTGCCGGTGTGGAGGAGTGAGGTGGGATTCGGTTTCAACGTGACCTTGCTGTGGTGGCGTGAGAGGAAACGGCCCCCAAAGGAAATGGCACTGTCAGGAGGTGTGGCCTTGTTGGAGTTAAGTGCGTCACCGTGTGGGTGGGCTTTGAGGCCTCTCTTGCTCAAGCTTCCCCCCAGTGTGACTATCAGTACACTTCCTGTTGCCAGCAGGCCGTAGCAGCACTCTCAGCTCTCGGGCTGCGTCTCCCTGCCATGGTGACAGTGAACTGAACCTCCGAAACTGTAAGCGGGCCACCCCAGTTAACACAGGCAATGAGGTTTATTGGGCTGTGTCTCACCTTCTTCCGTCACATCCCAAACATCCCATTGAGAGGGAAAACACGAGGCTGCGGTGCACCTGTAGAGGCTGAGCACTCTGGTCAGTTACCCTGCGCCTCCGTTGCCTGCTGTTGGACTGAGTAACTTTGAGAATGCCATTAGGAAGGAACAGACAGCTTGCCTTTCAGGCCTCAGCTGTCAAACATTAAACGAAGAGGAGAGTGGTATGTGCAGCGCAGGGTAAGCATTCAGATGATGCAATAGATGAGTAGTACCTCCGTAAAACGCCGGGCACACTGGCATGCGGGTGAAGCCGCAGCACCGGGGTGGTGTAGGCAGGCCCTTACGGGCCTAGATGCGTTGGTGAGCTCCAGGTTCAGTGTCTCAAAAAAATATAAGGTATAGAGCAACTGTGGAAGGTGTTAGTCTCTGACTTGCACATGTACAAATACATGTATGCATGCACACCCCGCGTGCATATGGGCACATGTGCACGCAAACCTTCACCAACACGTGCCAACAAGGAAGAAAAACCACATGGCACCTCTGTGTCGGGTGTATCTACTCACACATGAACACATACAGGCACACACATATGCAGATGAAAGATTTCTTTCGTGGTTCAAATAGCGTACCATTTTCCTACTTATTATCAGATGCCTCCTAGATAACTAGACTTGTCAGATAATTGATCTTGAGACAAGTCTACACTTTACGAAACATTGTGCTGTGTTGTATGTCAAAGGGAAAGCTTCCTTGCACAATATCTCATGAGAAAGAGATTTCAGAAGTACTGCTGGGAAATTTATCTTGTCTTGCATAATAGACCAGCTCTGTGAAAGCTGCAGATGAGGAAGGCCAGCTAAACCAGATTGTAGAAATGAGTCATTCAAAGGTAGGAGACGGAGGCACTGAAGACCCAGGGCTAGAATGTCCTAGATCCCTATCTGAAACACCACATTCCTGCCTTCAGCAGCAATTTGGAGTACAGTCAATGTTTCTTTTATCATTTTTATAGTCCACGGGTAGAGTAAAAGGAGCACTTTCTCCTTTTACTCTTTTTTCTCTGAAACTTGGCACATGATCTCAAATTTTTATTAGTAATTTCATTGTTTAGCCTAAACATTTTTAAATACCTGGGGATAGTTGGGAGTAGTAGGTGTGGGTGAGGATAACAGAGGTCATTGTAGTTGTTTAGGGTTGATATAGCTTAGTGATCTTGAGAAGGAGAATATGATTCTCAAGTGAACAGATGCATAATCAGTTAAAAAAAAAAGGGTGTTATCCTGAAAGCACAAAATACATTAGCATACTTTTAGGAGCTAGGGGGTTCAGTTTAATGGGAGAACATTTGCCCAGGAGACCTGGACCCTGGATTTGATCCCCAGTGCTTTTAAAACTTAGAAAGATTGGTCCACACCCTACCTATTGGATAGAGGCAGATTAAAATTGAAAAATTCTTTTTTTTTTCAAGACAGGGTTTCTTTGTATTGTTTTGGAGGCTGTCCTGGAACTAGCTCTTGTAGATCAGACTGGGCTCAAACTCACAGATATCTGCCTGCCTCTGTCTCCTGAGTGCTGGGATTAAAGGCGTGAGCCACAACTGCCTGGTAGAAAAATTCTATTTTATTGGTAATTGCTTGCTAGCAGCTCAGATTGATGGTACATCATTGTTAACTTGATGGATAACATGGAGTGTTTGAAAACAAAGACCTACATTTCATTCTGAGAAACAAATTGTATATCTTTGGTTTTAAATTTTCTTTCCATACTTTCTATTGTTTTGGTCCCTATTGATTTTGCCTCAAAGGTCTAAGTGTACCAGGTCTGAGTGGTGTCGGGGGAGGCTTCAAAGTGGTGAGTCTTGCACTGTTCATTGACTTCTCCAATTTACTTTCAAAACAACACAATCCTGATGATAAGTAAGTTGTTTAAACTGAGGTCAGAAACATCCCAAAGAAGCAACCATCTTCATTGAGCCACAGGAACTCTTGGCTCATATACAGTGCACATTAACAACTGATTCCAGTGTCCTCCAATGACTTAGTCTCCAGTTACAGTTTTGGTAACCCTATTATTCAGGAAAGCTTGAGAGTAGCTCGCCCATACTGACAAAAATTAGCAAGACTCACACTGGGGACAACAGATAGGGGAAAGGGTTGGACCTTTGCTTAAGTGATAAGAATTATGGGGTATGCTTATCTCCACTGAACCAAAAGGCAAAGCAGGAGGAAATTCTTATATTTTTGGTTGTGAGCCTAGCCTTTAACGACTGCGCCATCTCTCCAGTCCAGGAGAAAATTCTTGTGAGGAAAAATTTGCAACTGAGAGCTTCTAATATACCTTTCTCTCATCTTCCTAGGCGAGAGCCTATGACTCCCATCTAAGATGTTCAAGCTCCCTGCTTCACTAAATGTTTTTTTTTTCTGAGACTAAAATGAACAGAAACTTTTTTTTATTTTGTTTTTACAAGACAGGGTTTCTCTGTATTGTTTCGGAGGCTGTCAGTCCAGCCCGGCTTTGAACTCACAGAGATCTGCCTGCCTCTGCCTCCCGAGTGCTGGGATTAAAGGCGTGTGCCACCACCACCCGGCCACAGAAACGTTTTTATGTTTTGGGAAAATATTTTAATATTCAAAGACTTCCTAGTGGGCTAACAGTCTCCCACTCATCCTCCTGTTTGTGAACATATTTATTATTTTATTTCTATTTTATGTATAAAAATGTGTGGTGATATCCTGCTTGTACAAATAAAGCCTGTCTTGGGGGGGGCATCAGAGAATGGAGCTTGCTGCTAGCCAACCATGGAGGTCTGTACAACAGACAGGAAGTGAGGTAGCTGGGCAGAAACAGGATATAAGCAGGGAGAAGCAGGAAATGGCTCTCTTGTCTTCTGAGACGTTAAGGAGGTTGGGCGTGCTGTGGCTAGCTCCTTCTCTCTGATCAGTCAGCATTTCCCTCTGTATCTGACTCCAGCTTTTTATTATATGCACCAACTAAGAGCTCCGTTTACACGAGTGTTTGCCTGAACATCTCTCTGTACGTGCCCCATGTACACACGTGGTAACCGTGGAAGGCAGAAGAGGGAATTGAATCCCCTGGAATTGTAGTTACAGGTGATTGGGAGCCACCATGGGGATGCTGGAAAATGAACCTAAGGCCTCTCTAAGGGCAGCAAAGGTTTTTAAATCCTTGAACTGTCTCTCTAGTCGCCTCGTGCTTCTGTTTTGAATGTGAAGCACTGGAGATAAAATAGTAAAAATTTTAAAGTAATGTTGTTGCGGGTTGTCTGAATGCGATTGACCTTTGCAAGCTCATAGAGAGTGACATTATTAGGGGGTGTGGCTCTGCTGGAGCAGGTGTGGCCTTGCTGGAGGAAGTGTCACTGTGGAAGGGGGCTTTGAGGTTCCCTGTGGTCAAGATACTACCCAGTGTCTGAGCTGACTTCCTGTTGCTTGAAAGATATAGGACTTCCAACTACTTTTTTAACACACGTCTGCCTGCATGTTGCTGTGCCTTGCGCCCTTGCCGTGATGACAATGAGCTGAACCTCAGACTGTAAGCAAGCCACATCAAATAACTGTCTTTCCTTTATAAGAGTTGCCATGGTCATGGTGTCTCTTTACAGCAAGCCTTGTCTCTGAATGAATGAGAGTTAAAAAGTCACCATACTCAAATCCAACTGTGTACCTCTGCAGTTTATTTATGTAGCTATTTGAAGGTGCGGAGCCATTCAATAAGAGACACCTCCGCCGTCACCGAGAGTAATCCCAAAGAAGAGAGATATTTTTCTGCCTTTTGCTAATGGTTGTTAGTTCCAGGAAGACACTATTGCTGGTTTGTATGCTCTTCCAATAGCCTGGAATGGTCATCACAGATTAGGTTTTGTTAAGTTGAGTTAAAGGATGTAAAGTGTTGTAGAATGTTATTTTAAGGTATGTTACTTTTGCTTATGCTCTGGAACATTTGTTTAATGATGCAAAGATGTGTTTGATTAAATAAAATTCACCTGTGGTCAGGAGGATGGGTCAGCAATTAGGGAGGAGCCAGGTGGCGAAGGGTTTATAAGGAGGGGGCAAGAAAAAGCACGAGGATTTCTTGGGAGACACAAGGAGGTGAGTCAGGTGAGCTGTTTGCTATTCAGCCTCTCTGGGATGCAGGATTCTACCTCAGCCTTTGAATCTTGAGTTTTTTTTTTTTTTGGGACAGAGATTTAAATGTTTCCTTAGTAGTTTTGAAAGAATCGGTAGCTTAAAAAGCAGAGACAAATAAGAAAAACAACAGTAATGTCCTGAGATGTGTTAGGCATTTGTACTAAATGTCTTGTCTGGAATATTAAAGATCTGTTTCTGTGATACAGAGAATGTGAAGGCGTTCTGCGTATAGATTAAACCAGAATATACACTTATCTTCATTTGCAAGAAGTCTTTTCCCACCTGGGATATTCCCTTATTTACAACAAGGAATTATAGATGGGATCATCTTGTTTCTTAGATTTAAGATGATCCAGTGCATCTGAAAGTTTAATTGTGGGTTAAAATAATATGGGATGAGGCATGGCATGAAACAATGATTTTTTTTTCCTACCAGCAGCATGTGGTATTTTTGAGGACACCCCAAAATATCTGTAATCCTATGTTACTTGCTGCAGTGTAACATTGATACTCCGTCTTCTCTCCTATCAAGAGGCGAGGTTTACTGTGTTTGTGTCTTTGAATTTGGACAGCCCCATAGGTACTTTGAGCATCTGAAGACAGTGGAAGCGAAAATGTGCTGGTCCTTGGGGGGTGGTCATTAACTGTGTTTGTCATCTTCCCTGGTTATTAGGAATCAGTTTCTGTTCTAAGATTACTTTTGCTATGCTCTCTCCAGAGCCAACATGCTATGAAAAACCAAAGTCACACAGAAAAAATTTTTTGTCAACTTGACACCACAAGCTAAAGTCATTTTGGAAGGGGAATTTTAGTTGAGAAAATACCCCCACTAGGTTGACCTATGGGCAAGAGTGTGGGGCAGTTTCTTGATGAGTGATTGATGTTGGAGGGCCCAGCTCGCTGGGGGCAGTGCCCACAGTCCTGGGTGGTTTAAGAGGGCAGGCTGAGCAAATCAGAGAGCAGGCGAGTGAGCTGCGTTCCTCCGTAGCCTCTGCCTCAGTTCTTGCCTCAAGTTGCCGCTCTGACTGCCCTCATGACTCTGATTAGGAGCTGGGAGCTGAAATAAACCCTTTCCTCCCCAGGTGGCTTTTGGTCATCGTGTTCTATTATACCAACAGAAACCCTAAACAATACAAGTGGCTACCTGATTTCACAACCCCAGCTGATCTCTCAGAGGATAACTTCCACTGGTGTGAGCCATTTGAAGGAACCATCTTGGATGTCTGGCTCAACTTGAGGCTGCCATCGCTGACACGCTGCTTCTGCATGAGCGCACCCCTGGAACAGGCAGCCAGCGCAGCCATCCAGGGCGCATGAAGAAGGTAAGCACTTTGCTTCATTGAAATTGTTGCTGGATGTAAAGATGAGTTACGTCTGGCATATAAAATATCTCAATTAAAAACATTTCAAAATTGAGCACCGAGAACTGAAATAATAATCATTTTCCTTACTGCGAGCTCCTCTTGGTAAGGAAATGTGGGTATTTAACATTAGATCCCCAGTATCCAGATGTACTCAATAGGTGTTTGTTAATTATGTGACTGTTCCCTTCCATGTTATACTCAACCCCATTTTCTTATTCATTGATATCCTTATTTGGCTATGGTTAGCTACTTTATGACTTGGATTAGTTATCTTCCCCTGTGGTTGCTGAAGAGCGCAAGTTCCCGTGAAAAGGTTCCAGCCCATTTTTTAAAAAGTGATTAGTAACTGTGATACTCACCTAAGGGTTTAGCCCACACCTGCTTCATGTGGTGTTGGGGACAACTTTGTGCATGAGAGGCAAGTACTCTATCAACTGAGCTATGGCCTCAGCCCTTATAAGTTCATGTTAAAAATAACAACCAAAAAAGTATCTCTAGTGAGTAAGGCTATAGAAAGTATCTCAAGTGAGTAAGGCTATGATAAGATCCTTGACGATTCCAGATGAAACCAGGGGGATGCCTCTGTACACTACATTTTATGCCACCCACAGTGAACTGAAGGAGGGCTTATTCTACAAAGAGTATCCACAAGACGGAAAAATCAACTGTGGAATGGGAGAAGAAAGGGCTCGCAGCGGTGATGCGACAGCCCCCAGGCTTGATTACGTGTCTTTCCGGTTTTGCCTTCTTGCCCTTAGGTTGCAAAAGGTTAGATAGTGCAGTGAGTTCCTCCTCTCTACCCCGAGGCTGTCGACGATAGTTCATATTGGACTAACTGAGACCAAAGAGTCTTGCCTAGTTATTAGACTCTCTAATGCCCCAGGAAATACATAATCATTTTTAAAGGAAAACATTTAAACAGGCAACAACAGACAGTTCCTTCACAGCTCTAATCTTGGAAACCGCAAGCAGTCCCCGCATTTTGGTCCCCGCATTTTGGCATCTCTATTCAGTACGTTTACTGTTTACAGGTTTTATCAATTATGTCTCCACTACCCTTCTGTGTACTCTTCCCGCTTTTGTGAGATTTTCTTTTATTTGGTCTTTTCAACATTTTTTCATGTTCTCATTTGTTGTGTTTTTATTGAACATGCGTGTGCAACCTCTCATAACTCCTCCACTCTCACAACTCACATTTGACAAAACAATTCTGTTTTTTTTTTTTTTTTTCGTTTGTCTGTGTAAGTCCTGGCTGTCTTGGAATTCACTCTGTAGACCAGGCTGGCCTTGAACTCAAAGATCTACCTGCCTGCCTTCTGAGTGCTGAGTTTAAAGGCATAGGCTACTACGGCCTGGCTGAAAAACCTATTTTATTTTATTTTTTATTTTTGGTTTTTCGAGACAGGGTTTCTCTGTGGCTTTGGAGGCTGTCCTGGAACTAGGTCTGTAGACCAGGCTGGCCTCGAACTCACGGAGATCTGCCTGCCTCTGCCTCCCGAGTGCTGGGATTAAAGGCGTGCGCCACCAACGCCCGGCTGAAAAACATATTTTAAAGATTTATTTATTTATTTACAGTGTATTTGTTTATCTAGATGAGGATATGCTGTTTTTCTGTTGGCTTAGTGGCTGCACCTGGGTCTACTGATATTGTAATTACTGTCTGGCCCTTGGTCTGCCCCCCACTGAGGTCGGTGCTGCACCCCCCCTCCCCACTACTCAGGCTGCTGTTTGGTGGGACTTCTGGTCCCACCAGCACCAAATGCCGTTTTAAATTAAGTTTCTATTGTTCTATTTACCAATAAAGACTCTTCGGAGTCAGATGTTGGGGTGAAAACCTGCTGGATCAGAGAAGCCACCGGCTGACCTTCCCTTTTGGCTGGAGACCCAGCAAGGGAACATCTCTCCTGCCATCCCAAACTAAAAAGACAGACACTCCCAAGTCCCTCCTGACTCCTTCCTGTGTATCTCTCCGATGTGGGATGTCCTTCTGGTGCTGTGAATACGTTTCTCTTACTGGTTGGTGAATAAATGCTGATTGGTCTGTAGCCAGACAGGAAGTATAGGCGGGGCTGCCAGACTAGGAGAATGCTGGATCAGAGAGGAGGAGCAAGCCACCGCTACACCTTACCTCCTTAGCATCTCTGCGGACCAGTGGGCCGGTTCCTGTTTCTTCCTGCTTATATCCTGTTTCCTCCCAGCTAACTCACTTCCTGCCTGTCTGTACAGACCTCCAGACCTCTATGGTTAGTTAGTGGCAAGCTCTATTCTCTGACCTTCAGACAGGCTTTATTTGTACGGGCAAGGTATCACCACATCTCTCTATCCGTCTTCCTGGATCCTCTGTACTCTCTATGGCTAATTCCTGTCAACTAGTTGCTGGCTCTGCTCCCTGATCCAAGGTTGACTTTAATTAACACAGTCTCAGGTTTCACAGTGCCATCAAATATCCCGCATGTCGTGTGTGTGTGTGTGTGTGTGTGTGTGTGTGTGTGTGTGTGTGTGTGTGTGTGTGTGTGTGTACTCATGGAGGCCAGAAGAGGGTATCAGGTCCCCTGGAGCTACAATTAGACAGTTGTTACCTGGCTAGTGGGTGCTGGGGACTGAACCTGGGTCCTCTGGTAGGACAAGAAGCAAAGAAGTATTCCTAACTGCTGGCCATATCTTTGTTTGACGAAGCCAGTCTCAATCTCTCAGGCTTTTATACATGGCCTTTCCTGCTTCCACTATGAGAAGATGAAAATATTATCATTGGCCTTGGCCTGGTTCGTACAGCTAGAAGGTTCCAGATCTAAGAGTTATTTTTTGGTTTGTGAGAGACACCAAATAAACTACATCTATTGCCACCCAGTCTAAGAAGAAACACTTGATAGAGGCCTTACGCAATTAATTACTCACTTCTCCCCTGGAGTTCTGGTCAACTATCTCTTTAGCAATAATTTTACTGAGACCATTCCTAGCCCCTGAAGACCTATCCAGGGCAAACGGTTGCTCAAAAGCCAATTGTTACTGTCTTAGGGTTAGAGTAAATCTGTGCTGACATTCTGGGAGCAATTGCAGTGAGGGTCTTGGTGTCCCTGCCTTTTGATTTGGTCTCAGGTGCTCTCCTGGAAGCTGTGTCCTAAGTTTGTTTCCTTCCTGGATGTCCAAACTTTCTTCAGAACTTTAATTCTCAGTCCTAAATTCTTGAATCTTCATGGGGACTTAAAACTAAAATGTAGTTCGGTGCCAGCTCCCTAAGGTGAACACACAGATGGTCCATTTTAGGAATGGGCTGTGTACAGCTCTATGCTAAGAAATTCAGATAAAGCAGTAAATTTGCTCCTCACAGGGAATGTTTGAGGTGTGATGTTGGCATTCTCATTTTAAAAGTGAGGAAATGGAAGTCTAGGCGAGGTTTAGAAGGCCTAAGGAGGTGCGATAAGTGGAGTAGATTGAAGCTTAACACTTGGCAGTTCCACAGACCCTAATCTTGGCCATGGTGGCATGCTGCCCCCCCAGTAGACTATACAAAGGGGTCACCATTTAATGGCCCTGCAGCTCAAAGGAACCAGACAGCATCCCTAGCTGCAGTTTTGATCTGCAAGCTTTTCCTATCTGTTGTTGCTCTTCCATCTTCCCAGGTGGTCATTAACCTCCTTCCTGAACCCCAAATGTCATCTAAATTTCCAATTTGATAGGAGCTAATGATCTTGTGTTTGTACTTAATGTTCTCCCCCCCCACCAAAAAAGAAAGTAAATATTCATGAGACACAGGCTTGGTCTTTCTTTCTCTTAGAGCAAGAGAAAGTACCTCTTCCCTCTTCATGATATTTGGTAACGGTCTTAGGGTTTCCATTGCTGAGACAAAAAAACCAAACAAGTCACACTTGCAGATCATAGCCCATCATTGGAGGAAGCCAAGATGGGAACCCAAGCAGGCCTGGAACCTGGAGATAGGAGCTGATGCAGAGGCCATGAAGGTGGGGAGCTGCTTTCCCTGGCTTGTGCAGCCTTTCTTTTTTATTATTTTTATTTAAATAAAAAACAATATTATTTTACATACCAATCCCAGTTCCCTCTCCCTCCTTTCCTTCCATTCCCTCCACCAACTCCCCATCCACTTCTCAGGGAGGGTGAGCCCTCCTATGGGGTATCATCAAAGTCTGTCACATCAATTGGGACAGGACCTAGGGAACCCTCCTACCCTCTCCCCATCTAGGGTGAGAGATACAAAGCCCATTTGTGCACTAGGGGTAAATATTGGTTCTACTGCCAGAAGTTCCACAAGTTCCCCCAACTGATACCCATGTTCAGGGGGCCTGGTTCCTCCGTCTTATATGCTGGTTCCCCAGCTGTCAGACTAGGATCCATGAGCTCCCACTTGCTCAGGTCAGCTGTTTCTGTGGGTTTCCCCCAGCATGCTCTTGATCCCTTTGCTCATCACTCCTCCCTCTCTACAACTGTATTCCAGGAGTTCGGCTCAGTGCTTAGCTGTGAGTCCCTGCTTCTGCTTCCATCAACTACTGGATGAAGGCTCTATGATGGCATTAGTAGTCATCAATCTCAGTATAGGTGAAGGGCATTTAAGGTAGCCTCTCCACCATTGCTTATACTTAGTTGGGGTCATCTTTGTAGATCTCTGGAAATTTCCCTAGTGCCTGATTTCTCCTTTAAGCCTGTAATGACTCCCTCTAACAAGATATCTCTTTCCTTGTTGTTCTTCTCTGTCCTTCCCCCAACTCGACCTTACTGATCCCTCATGTTCTCCTTCCTCCTCTCCTTTTCCCTCCTCTCTCTCCCCATCCCCCCATGCTCCCAATTTACTCACGAGATCTTGCTCCTTTCCCCTTCTCGGGGGTCCATTTATATCTCTCTTAGGGTCCTCCTTGTTTCCTAGCTTCTCTGGCATTGTGGATTGTAGACTGGTAATCCATAATCCTTTGCTCTATGTCTAATATCCACTTATGAGTGAGTACATAGAATGTTTTTCTTTTTGTGTCTGGGTTACCTCACTCAGGATGGTTTCTTCTGGTTTCATCCATTTGCCTGTGAATTTCAAGATGTCATTTTTTTTCTTTTCTGCTGAGTAATACTCCATTGTGTAAATGTACCACATTTTCTTTATCCATTCTTTGGTTGAAGGGCATCTAGGTTGCTTCTATGTTCTGGCTGTTACAAATAATGCTGCTATGAACATAGTTGAACAGAGATGTCCTTGTGATATGAAGGTGCATCCCTTGGGTATATGCCTAAAAGTGGGATTGCTAGATCTTGTGGTAGACTGATTCACATTTTCCTGAGAAATGGCCATACCGATTCCCAAAGCGGTTGTACAAGTTTGCACTCCCACCCGTAGTGTTCTGCTTTCTCCACATCCTCTCCAGCATAAACTGTCATTGGTGATTTTGGTTCTAGCCAGTCTGACAGGAGCAAGATGGTATCTCAGAGTTGTTTTGATTTGCATTTCCCTGATGGTTAAGGATGTTGAGCAATTTTAAGTGCTTTTCAGCCATTTGAGATTCCTTTATTGAGAATTCTCTATTTAGATCTGTACCCCATTCACTCAACAGTACCATCAGTGTCTTCTTGGTGTGTGGTCTATGCAGTGTCCTGTAGGTGTGTGTGTACATGTGTAAAGGGAAGCCTTTCCTTGTTAGCCGCTTTGGTTTATCACCCGCCAGTCGCCTGGGCTCTGCCATATTGTAGTCCCCAAATAACACACAAGACGCTGTATTATGAAGCTGTTGGCCTTGCTTGTTTCTTACTGGCTAGCTCTGACTTAAGTAATTACCCCATAATTGTTAATCTAAGTATTTCTCTTACCGGAGAACTTTCCGGGCTTCCTACCCCATGGTGTTACATCTTGACTTTTTTTGTTTCTCCTTCCCAGAGTCCTCCTGGACTCCTAGACCCACCTATCTTGGTTCCCTGTTGGCCAACAGTGCTTTATTGACATATAAACAGGACTTTCCCCATCATACATGTATGCAATGGCCGGGGTAACACCAGGTGTCACCCTCTATGGCTTATGACCTCCATCTTTCACTAAACATGGAGCTCACCAATTCATCAAGGCTGGCTGGCTGGCCAGTTCAGAGACCTTTCTGGCCTGGCTTCCCCAGAACTGCAGCCATCTGCGGCACATGCCACTGTCATTGGAGCTGAACCCAGGTCCTCAGGATTGTGTGACACACACTTGACTATCTTCTCAGACCTTGAAATAGCCCTAGTTGTAAAGATTATTTATGGCAGGTGCATTTTTCTTACTTTGCCAATTCATTTGTGGTTTGGCCTTAAAACTATTTGACCTGGTTACAGAATGCTTTTTTAAAAAAAACAGTTTTGGAGTTTTTATTTTTAAATAAAAAAAAAAGGACCATAGATGTATCTCCTATTTAAAAACAAAACAAAACAAACAAACAAAAAAACTGTTGGGGATTGGAGAGATGGCTCAGGCATTAAAGGGCTAGGTTCACAACCATAAAGGAAAGACCCTTCAATTAGGAAATATTGGCCTATTTTTGTTTTCATTTGAATGGTAGGTTGATAGACCTATCTCAATATGTTCTGGTTAACAGAGTCAGTTTGTTCAGTTGATCTGACATCATTCCAATGAGAACAGAGTGAGATCTGGCTGTATCTGGCCTCTGTCAGTCTGCAAGCCATTCACAAGAGAGGAGACACAAACACGGTGACAGCATTCAAAGGTTTGGGGGGTTATTGTGTTATTTAGTTGACAGTTTGAAACATCTTACTAGAGGTTCTCTGGGAGGGGGGTGGGAGAGGGTAAGAACAGTGAATTAAACAAAACAAAAAACCACTAAGGCCGGGTGGTGGTGCATGTCTTTACTCCCAGTACCAGGGAGCCAGAGGTATGCGGATCTCTGAGTTCGAGACCAGCCTGGTCTGCAAGAGCTAGTTGCAGGACAGTCTCCAAAGCCAGAGAGTCCCTGTCTTGACACTCCCCTCCTCCCCCCCCATAAAAAAACACTATTGAATTAATTTCCCCTTTAGAAGACATACATAAAATAGAGGTTGCAATAGAATTTTGAACTTCTCTCCCTTTTGTTTACCTTCTTGGGGGTGGAGAGGTAGGTTGTTGCTTGACTCTGAAGAAATACACTTAGTTATGGGAACACAGGTTGTCTGTAGGCATCCGAGATTGTCTTACCCTTGCCTGATCTAGGAAATACAATAGCATCAATACCTAGTTCTTTTTTTTTAATGAAATAAATCAGGCAACTGACAGGATTCTTGTATTTTGAAATGGAAATCTGAGTTTTCAAGAATTTCTGGACATATGGTGGTGGTGGCCGATGCCTTTAATCCCAGCACTTGGGAAGCTGAGGCAGGCGGATCTCTGAGTTCGAGACCAGCCCTGTGTACAAAGTGAGTGCCAGGACAGCCTCCAAAGCCACAGAGAAACCCTGTCTCAAAAATAAAAAAAATAAAAAAGTAATGAATTTGTCTAATATTGGTCTCCAGAGAGCTGGACGGAGGTCAGCTGTGAACTTTTGTGAAAGTATTTGTTATACACATGGCATCCCCTTTTAAAACAACCAGGAAGTGAGGGTTTGCAAGCTTTCAAACGAAGAAAAAAAAAACAAACCAAAACACTACCTCCCACATCTTTCAGGGTAAAAGTTGCTGCACTCCAGTACCTCTTCAAAAGACTCTAGAGTGCAGTGTCCTCAAGGGACAAAGCTAGTCTTTAAAGAATAGGACTTTAGGACCGGTAGCCAGTCTCACAGACACTACTTTATTTGTAATTGCTTAAAGGCTATAAAGGAAAAACTACAGCAGCAGTCAAACAAGCTAGGGGGCAGGGCGTCCCATCTTGTGAAAAACTATTAGGGTCTTATTAAAACACCCTTATCCTTTCCTCCTGCAGAGGTTCCTCAGCTCTTCCAGCAGGTGTCGCTAACATCACGGAAGAAACATCGGACAGCATGGTCTGTAACTTTTATTTTTCTAGCATAATAATTTAAAGTATTTACATACTGCATACCCACTGTTTTTACACAGATACTTAACTCATATACCTATGAACCACATCTACAGGTTTCTCTGTAAAGACTCTCGGCACAATTTGTAGGGGTTTCCAAGCACAGTGAAGAGGGCAAAAAACCCCGTGTTTTTTGAGTCTTCTCTGAAAGAATCACACATAGATCTATGGAAATCGGTGCTTTGGCCCAAGTTGTAAGCTCTCCCAGGAGACCCATGAAGAGCCAAAGCCTACTCATACGCTGGCATCATCTGAAATTCTGGCTAAAGAAGCAAAAGCCGTAGTAAGTTCTTAGAAACCTCAAAGAAAACCTGGCTCTCCTCTACAGAAATACTTTATTTCTAAAAGTTATCTGTGGGGACCATAAAGGTCATACAGGGACACTGATTACGAGGGAGAACAAACAATCCACCATACTATATTGCTGATATTTCCAATGTGTAGTATACTAGTCTCATGGGCACCCTTTCCCGCTAAACACACTTTCTGACCCAGACTATGAGTAGAGGTGGTGGTTTTGTTCTCCCCCAAAAAGGATAAAAGGTGTATCAATCACACACTCTAAAGCCAGACACTGTAGAAACTTCTATTGTTTTCACTTTACCTTTATACTACTTGAACAAAAATAGTGGTTAAAAAGTATCCAACGTCTTTCCCTTTCTCGTTCTACTCAACTGCAAGTCACTAGCCTAGTGAAAAAGCTTCTGAACTTGGCACATGGCTCCGCACATGAACAAAAGTGGCCATGTTTCAGAGCTCAGGGTTGGTCAGTCCTTCCTAGTCCAGCTTCCTTTAAAAGGACTCTTTAACAGGGGGTTAGATTCCAGCTCCCTGGAGTTCAGGGGTGCCTTCAGAATTTTCCCCAAGTTTAAGGGTTTGCTACCTCTAGAACACACACACAATCCCATCCTGTTGATGATACCACTTCACAAAATGGGTATCCTTTTCTGATGCCAAAGTCTGTCAGTGCCACTGGTCAAAAGGACACGGCAAAGGCATCACCTTGGCCTAGATAACTACAGCATTTAAAGCTTGCATTACTGTAAACCTTAAATATTGAAACACAAATTGTATTACTTCTTGGAACCCAAACACTCACACTATTTAGATATAACAATATAAACCTATCTATTCAGGAGTTAACTCTGCTAATCACAGCCTTTTTGTTAATTCCCTTCTATAGTTGGTACCAACAATGGATGGTAGAGGCAAGGAGAGACTTTACCTTATGGGGATTTCAGTGACAGGAGCAACTAACTGCCTAATATTCAACTACAGGTGTTAAGATGGCAGAGAACTGAGAAGACGGATACTACCTGGACAGTGCAATGCCCAGTTACGACCATCGGGACGACAGCATCCACAGGCAAGCGTGTATACTAATACACACCAAGGAAGGTTTTCTGTCCTTAAGGCCCTACACCTGGACCTCAATATCATTCCAGAGTTTGGAATCCTGAGGTGAAGTGAGGGAGACGTTGGGGTGGAGAGAGAGCACCGTTAGGGTTCCAAGCAGCCGAGGAGGAAAGAGTTAAGAATGTGATCTCTACAAATTACAGAGAGGGATAGCAAGGCATGAACTCTAGTAAGTTGATGACTTTGTTTAAACTCTTTAAGCAAAAGGAGGGGAAACTACTATTTAAACAGGAATAGGGGAGACTAGCTCAGGTGTAGGGAGATATGCCTGGTTATCAACTGGAAATGACCATCACCATACTGGTACTTAACAAATGGCAGCTTCAGAAGGGTCAACCTCACGGGCCATGTGCTCAAATGTCAGAGTAACAAGAACTGCAGTTGTAGCAATCCTGTCCCCATGTTCTGAGAGTAAGTTGTTAGAAACAGAGCTCTTAAGTAGAATCAAAAGTACTTACAAGGGAGGGGACAATTTTCCTCTCAGATTGACACTTCAAAAGGGAGACAGCTCCATTATGAACTGTGTACCTTGGCAAATCAGTAGCAATGGGACGTGCAGGAGGAACACCCAAGGTAGCTACAAACTGGTCACCTTCAAATGGATTGCTGTTGTGTCTGTGTATATGCACTGTACATATTAGCCAGGTACACACATAAATATTTAATATATAAAAAATAAAGTGCTTTCTAAGAGGCCCCTAGGCAGGGACATTATAAAACATTTCACAAAACTGCAAAACAAAATTGGTACAATCAAAAAAACACAACAACCAACATATGTGAAAACAGTCAAACACATAATGTACAATCTGGTGTTCCAGGACAAACATCTGTCATATACATGGTATATACATATATATTCTTTCACTCAATATATTATGACAATATATATTTAAAATTTTGTTATAGACAAAAAAACCAAAAACAAACAAACAAAAAACCCAAAAAACAAACAACCCCTACAAAAACACAGTAAGGATCAAGCATGTGAGTCCAAGAGCAACAGACAAATGGCTGCCTCCTGCACGGCTGCTGCTGGGGAAGATGTGCCAGCGTTCCTTCCTGGGGTGCAGCGCCTCCACGTCCTCCAAGGCACTGTGGGCTGCGGCAGTAAAGTTGGCATCACCGGTGGTGAGCAGGTCAAAGACACAAGACTGGAAATAGATGTCCTTCACTGGCATCTTCTCATGGCATTGGGTGCTGGCGGTCTCCAGGGTGTAGCCAGGCCAGGCCTGCGCTGAGGTGGTGCGTGGCAGGCTGTGCCCCAGGATAGCAGACACCTGGCCTTGTCCATCATCGATGCATTCACTCAGAGGGCAGCCATTCACACACAGCTGCAGATCTTGGCTTTCCTCATAGGACATGGCCAAGTCTTCAGGCATTCGAATGGCGAGGGTTAGGTAGCGGCCCAGCTGTCGCACAAACACTGTGGTGCCTATGTAGCGGGCATGCATCTCGACGTAGCGGCCACTCTCCTTCTCCACGATGTGAAGGCTCTTGACGTCACCATCCCCCCCACTGGTGGTGCCATCCACAAAGGCAGCTGGCAGGTCATCTGTCACAGCCTGGTATACTTTCTGATCCGTACACTCATGGTGTGCTTTGAAGATAATAGTGATCTGTGGGATGGAAGATGGACAGGTTACTACAACTGGAGGGGAGCTGGGAACTTTCCCTATTACTACGTTGGAGCAGAAGCTCCAAATGCAATGCAAAAAGCTGTTGCTTAGCTTTCTTGACATAGCACCACTGTTGGGAAACAGTCAGTTTTTATTAGTAACTTTTATTTGTCTACTAAACTACCCAGGCATGGCATAGCTGGGGTGGAGGGGTGGTGGGAATTCCTCTTTAAGGTATACAGAAGCTCCGAGGGACTTGATGATACATCTAACAGAGCCTTGCCTCTAAAAGAGATCCTTCATTGGACTATCTCCATTTCGCAAGACTCGTCACTATAAACTTAATGTAAATGCTGAGAGATGAAGCAGGCATTTGGGGCGTCTGCAACGACTTCCAGGCATGTGCCTCTCGAGAGATTTCTTTAAGTCTCTTAATCAAATGTTTCCCATCATTGGTTAATCCCTGTGACAGGGAATTATTTGGCAGGCACGGCTCTCAAGTGCTGGCAAAGATAACATACCCCAAACTTAGTGACAGAAGACGTTTTCCCCAAACAGTTCAGGGAGGAAAAAAACAAAACAAAACCAAAAAACCTCTCTATCGATACAATACAAAACCTTCCTTCTGGCAAGACCATTTCCTTCCCTGTAGATCCTTTCATTGTAAGAGTTATTAAAAAACAAAAACAACCCTGAAACAAGTGAACCTGCTCCCGTTTTACAGCCAGCATGTGATGAGAGAGGGTAACTAGGAAGGGGCAAAAGTTCTCTGGGGAGCACTTCCCAGTACACCTGAGATTTGGCTTACTGTCTGTCAGTTACATGGTAACGGTTTTTTTTTTCATTCATTAAAAAAGGATTGGGCAATTTGAGTCAAGAAGGCAGACAGACAAGCCACACACTCTGTAAGTCACTCAGATGGCAAGAACCCCCAGGCTCCTGAAAGAGAACTTGTCAAAACAATGGACCCTTGTTAAAAAGGCCAGAAATGCCCCCCCCAAGTCCTCGCTACCACCCTTAAGTTTGTGTCTGAAGTTTTTCCCCCAACCCAGCCAGCATTTGCTCACACTATTTAATTCCACACGTTCCCACTGGTGTTAACTTGACTGGAATTTTCCAGCCATTTCATTTCACTTCAGCCAGTTACAAAGGCAGATCTGAGCCAGCTGCACTGCAGCAACTGGTTAAGTTCATATCCGTTGTTTGCAGCTGCAGCTGAAAGCCAGACAATGTGCTGTGAAAGCCCTGGGCTTTCTCTCCTAATTACCCAGAGCCACAATTTGATTTCACTACTAGCCCTTCTCACATTTCAACACCTTCTTAATAACCCAGAGAAGGTGACCAGAGAGAGATGACTTCAGGAGAACTGCAGATTCCAACCATGGAGCCTTCCACTGAGAGGGGTCCTGGGGTGGGTATCTAAGGAGACTATAAAATAGATTTATTTGGTGGCTCTAAAGTCAGTTTGACAAGTCCCCTTTTAAGACATGTTGGGATTGCTAGGAGGTGAAAAGATTAATTCAAATAAATTCTGCACTTGAAAACACTGGAGGAGGGTTAGAAAACAACGAAGGTTAACAATACAGACGGATAAAATAAGAGTCAACAGGACCTTTTTATGCAGTTTTGATCCTTGTTAACTGAAACACATTCAAAAACAGGAGATTTGACAACTCAGTAATGTCTTTCTGGTCTGACTTCAAGTTTAAGCCAACTTGGCATTGCAGGCAAGAACTGTGAACATTCTGTCCACATTAGGAAGAATGAAAAGGAATTCACTTTTGTTGGGGCAAGAAAGCAGAGATGTTCAATTGCAAACAAGTTACCAAAAAAAGACACACGAGGGGTTAATATTAACGTGAGCGGAATCGTTTCATGTTTTTAACTGAGTCCGGTTTTTCAAATTCTAATTCTGCACCTGAGGACTCATATTAAACACCTCACACACTTATCCTCTGCTATGGAGGACAAATGGAAAACCAGCATTCTCTAGGTTCTGTACCTATTAAGTATTCTCTACCTCATGGACTTCTGTTTGCTCATTTTGCCTGACGTTGACTTTCCCAAGTGAGAAATCTATCTACTGAATCAATGTGCTGACGGGATGAGACAGTCCCAAAGCCTGAGTAAGAATTCCCGAGAGGGCCTGTGTAGTTTATGAACAGAGCAGGGATCTCCTTAGATTTGGAATCACTAATGTAGAAAAACCTCTGGGTAACAGTTTCACATGTTTTGTAATGCAATGCCATTCCTTGGGACAATTACAACACAAGCTCTTAACAAGCAAGCACTCAGCCATGAACAGCATGAAATCCATTACACATCATCTACCTTTCCAGGAAAGCAAACCCATTCATCGGTAATAATTCTTCAAAAACATACAAGATTTCATTGGAATTGTTTTTGCATCTTCCAAACTTAAAATAGGTATTTAAATTTGTATAGTGGTTTTTCACTCTGTACTTAAAAAAAAAGGTAAAACACTGGCTATGCTGCTTGCTTTCTCTCCACTAACTGACCCATACACAGTAATAACTCAATTTGGCACATCTGTTCGATGCCACGCCATTTATTATTGATGGGTGGCATTTCTGTGCATTTAAAACATCAATGTCTTTTGTTAAACCTCCCCCATCTAGTCCCTCTCAATCCCACCTTGGACAAACTACTCTAGTTCTTATTCATTTTTAATCCCCCCTCCTGAGATCTTTACCACCCACAAAGGTCTATGAGGAAGAGAAAGACAGCTGTTACAGCAAATCAACCTTTGCACACATGGAAGGCAACAAAAACTTAAGGTTTGTTGTAAAAAATTTTTTTTGGTTTTTTTTAGACAGGGTTTCTCTGTATTGTTTTGGAGGTTGTCCTGGAACATGCTCGTAGACCAGGCTGGCCTCGAACTCACAGAGATCCGCCTGCCTCTGCCTCCCGAGTGCTGGGATTAAAGGCGTGTGCCACCAACGCCCCGAGGTTTGTTGTAAAATTAAGAGCAGTGGCTCTCAACCTTCCTAATGCTGCAACCCTTTAAAATTACTGTTCCTCATATGTTGTGGTGATCCGCAGCCATAAAATTATTTTGTTGCTGCTTCTTACCTGTAATTTTGCTGCTGTTTATGAATCGTAAATATGTTTTCCGTGGTCTCAGGCAACACCTGTGAACCACTGAAGGGGTCGTGACTGACCACTGCCTGCCTTTCCTTCCCACCAGCAAGAAAAGGAGATAATATGAAATGAAATTGAACGAGCCGACGAGGAAACTCCAGGCCTCACCAGGATACAGAGAAATCTTCCCAAGGCACAACAGCCTGTAAAACATCTCACAGGTTTTAAAACACCACTCCCCACAAAGGCTATGCAGTCAGCTACCCGTATACAATGTAGCTCTGTATATATTATGAAACATTTGCCAGTGTTCAATCAGACCACTTTGGCACTGCAAGTGCAAGGAAGTCTCTGGAATGAAGTCTCAACAAGAGAACTGGACTTTTAGAGCTAATCATGGAACCGGAAGGCAATTTGATTCGTATCTGGTTAAAATTCTGTCCATGTACAAGGAAGTTAAAATAAGATTTACTTCATATAATTAGCTGGTATGTCCACACTGTCAAATCGTCTGGGTGTAGTTCTGATGAGACACAGTAGACCCTCAAGGACACCAAGACTGGGCTCAGAGCCCCTTCCATGTTTGCACATGTAGGTGTAACACAGCATCGACACTCAGTTTTCTGGACAGAGTAACAAGACCATTCCAACAGCAGCACACACTTCCACCACACTGGCTTTGTCTCTGGCCCTAACACACCCGAATTCTACTCTGGAGGGCCAATTTTTCTAAATGGTGGAAAGCTGGTCGAAAAAGTAGCTCTGAAACACACCTTATTTCATCTCTAGGGCCACCAGAGTGTGACTGTAGCTGGGGCAGGCCCCCTCTATGCAGGCAAAGAGGGAACTGACCTTTAGTTACATAAAAATGAGAGTAACACTCTTTTTGTGAAACGGAGAAAATTCACACAACTTTGAACAATTTCATGCAAAACCTAGATATGATTTTGTATGTAGTACACTACATGCTAGGCTGGGGACACATGCTGTCACTGACAGTTTTCTGTTAAGAAAGCTGTAAACTCAAGAAACAGCAATTTTACAATCACTATTCAGCTTACATCAAATATTATACTCACAGAAAGTGTAAGAAGTTGCTTAAGCACACAATGTTTTTAAAAGCTTTTACTGGACTAAGACGATGTACTAACTACACACTTGCAAGGTGAGCAGCTTATTTAAAAATCCTACCCTGAGCTCCTTTTAGGGTTTAGACGAGACTAAGATATACTGCCTTCAAAACAGTTATCAAATATGTATGCTTCTCCACCCAAAGTCTCCTCCTACAGAGTTCTGGTTCAGAGCACTTACAGGAAGCAGAGAACAGGAAAGGCTCACACTTTGTCTTCAGTGTTGCTCGAGGTAAAGAGCACAAGCAAGCACAGGGGCTGCTTTGGCTGCTGAAGGGGTTCTTGGCAGCAGATAGAGAATTAAGAAGCCAAACCAGAGGGGAAGGACACCCACAGCTGAAGGCTGCTAGGGTGGTCCAGAGAAGCACCAGGCCCAATGGCTGGAAAAAAACACTGAGTCTGAAAGCAATCTGGCCCAGGGATAACACACGGAAGGGACAGGCACAGGAATGCCAGCTTTCAAAAACCAGTTTCCATATAATTAAAACAAGGAAGGTGGGAAGCGTAAACAGGCACAGAGACCAGAGACGGGGAAGTCAGTCAACTTCCTTCCACACACCAGTGTTAGCTCCTCGCTGAGCACGAGGAGGCAAGCCCTCCAAAAGCTCTCAAAGGTTGGGTTCAGATTTTGTACTGTGAGGTCAATATCACCATGCTTTTATAGATGAGAAGGCAGATAGATGCCTGAAGGGTTACAGACCCAAGATGTCTTTGTGCCAACCTGGGAGCTATGTTGGAGGCAGTGGCCCTCAGCTGGGCAGAATCTGC